GAAGTCAAACTGAAAAAAATAATCATCAATTACTTTGGATTTTTATTTCTCTAATGATTGAAGCTCTATCTAGAGATTGTAATATTTTCAAAATGGAATACGATTTTTAAAAAGTAGAAGGATAGTTAGATAGAAGATAAGTCAGTAGTAACAATTATTTTAGTAATTTGATCGTTGCCCTCCAAATAAATTTGCTTTCACAACGACAACTTTATAGTGAAATAGGCCACACATCCAAAGGAAATCGTCAAGAATCCTCATAACCCGAGCATCACAAAATCCAGAAGGCTCTAGCCTATAGCAGCAGATAATCGTTTGCTGTAAACTAATTCTATTTTTTGAAGAGGTACGTCTACTTTTTGTGGACTACTGATAACGACAAAAGCGTTCTCTAAACTAGTTTGCAGTCACTGCTGTTTCAATCATGTTATCGCCTTGTCGTGACGATTTTTCCTAATTTTTTTTCCATTTCAACATTTAACATTGTATCTCTGACAAAAACTGTACTCTCCATGCTGATTTAATGAAAAACAGAATCGTCTCTGTACGCGTTTCTTAGTTGGCAACACAATCTAATTTTCAAACAATCTTAGCCTCTTCTACCTTCTAAAAACTCTTTTCTTTTTCAAGATCGCATAGTTTCAATAACAAGCAACTTTTCCTTAATTATCTGCAAGGTAGTTACAAAAAAATGAACAGCTATGAAAAAATTCCAAAGAATTTAAATAATTTAATCATCAAATGTAGGGTTGCTATCAATTTTTGTGACTTTACTCCTGCCATTAATGCTGGATAGGCCAACTTATTACGGTCTAAAGGACTTGTTCTTCTGACTAATACGCTTCGTGTGCAACTGTGTTTACTAGAAATATGTGCCAATGCTGAACTTACGTTGACGATATGCAGCATATCAATATCACAGGCTCGAAATAAACGAGCAAACTCAGCCTCCTCAAAATTCAGACGTTCTGCTGCAGGAATGTTTTCACGCTTCGGAACCAATTCTGCCCAATTCTGTAATTGAATATATCATAAATGTGCCTTAATTTCCTTTGGCAAGGGAAAAGAAGTGTAAACTATAAATAAATGACAATGGTATCCAAATTTACCGGGGCAATCGAGACAGATCTGATTTTTCTCCTTGCTAGCGACATGCGATTCTCTTCAACCATCACATACATTTTTGAAGAAGCACAACGAAACCTATTCGCATCAGGTGGAGGGAGCTGAACACTTAGTATCTCAGAGTCTAGAGTAGAACACAAAAAACCGTCACAACGTACTTTTCGAAGAACCTCAAGCTGGAGCTCTTGAGGCAATTGAAGGAATGGAAAAGTCACCGACGCATCTTTGAAATCCATTAACCCTGATGCAGAAATAAGAACTTTCCGCAAAATCTAAAGTTGACCACAGTGGAGTAAACTGCAATCTCGCAAAGAATAATCTCCATCATTGCATAGATAATTAACAGTTTTTCAGTGTGAGTACCTGGTCAATCGCTTAATACGTTAGCAATGACCATTGGGCGTATTCTGGGTCGTGTAGTATCTCAAGGGTATATTGACTCTAAAGGTATATTGCAAGGCGTTATCTCCCAGATCATTGGTTTGACGAGGTATTGATTATCTGGAAAGAAGACGCTTTCCTACTTATTTGATGCTGACATGAAAGAATTTGAATGAAACTTACCAGGCATACTACTCAGCGCTTAGAGAAAGACTTCGCTTCAAAGGAGCGCAATGTTACAGCTGTGCTCTGTTGAGTTTGTGATGTAGCGATAGTTTTTTTTTGCTGAAAGTGGACATTGGAATAATTCTTCGCAGCATATCT